CATTAAGAATAATATAGTTCCACTTGAACAACACTATTTTGTAACGAAGGTGATAAAAAGAACCAAGGGACTGTGGTTAAAAACAATTTTAATTACTAAAGTATCTTTCGGCTTACGCCATCATCAGCATATCGGTGATGTAAAATATCGTTAAAAACTTCAAACTGTGATTATGTTCATGTTTAAAGTTTTGTAAATACTCTGATGATAGCGTAAGCCGAAAGGTAAATTATGTAATTAAACAATTTTTAACCACAACACATTGGTTCTTTTTATCACCACTATTATTCAGAATGGATTAATCTGTGATACCTTTATTTAATGCTTCTAGTGTCAAAGCATGGAGGACGATAGTCGTTCGTCTATGATTCATCTTTTTAGCGGTCGTCGAGTTTTCTCCAAATTGATACTTGACATTTTCGTGAGCCAGTTCTTTCACCTCAGCGGTGCTCGTCTTCTTCGGGGAACTTGAAAATGCGCCTACACAGGAAACAACTAAGCGCCTCTCTAATTCGAACGTAGTGGAGCTTTCCCGTTTGTTTTATTCTTGTAAGTTCTCTAGAGAATGGGCCTCCACACAGTTAAAAATGGCCATGTTTATGGTTCATGGTACGTGAGTTACTTTGAGTCACCTCTTTTTTCGGTCAGATCAACTTACAGAGCTTGGTCGGTAAACCAAATTTTTGGTCAATTTTTTTTTGTTTTGCACTTCCAATATCTCACGAGGGATGATCTTGCGCTTTATCCGTCCCTAAAGCCAGCTCCAGATAACCGCTGTTTGATCAAACTTGGGTCACCTGGCCGGGAATCGAACCCGGGACCTCCCAATCTTAGAGCGAGCGTCACGATCACTACACCACAGGAGGCCGCCACTGACCGAAGCCGTGTGAGTTTTACCATATACAAAAAGCCATACGGTGTTCATTCACAATACAGCGCAGTTATACGCGAAAGCGCCGGGAAAATGGTGAGTTTCTATGCTCACACGGCAAACACTCGCAACATCTGACTCAGCCAGATGCGAGGTCCGGGGTCGCGGTGAAACAGGCCCTGTCCGGCACTGAGGAGATGTGTGTGTGGGAAATCGGGTGAATTTTAGCGGACGTAATGCGATTGAACAGTTTAGCTCAAATCACGTTAATTTAAGCAGGGAAGAATTTCGGCCGGGGGAAATAATTTATTGTTCCGCGAGCGCAAATGCTTGTTAACGCAAATGAAATGCTGTACGTGGTACGAACTAAAGCACGCCGTTACGTGTTTCCTCTTCGAAATTTTATGTAGAAATTAGTAATTTATGTCGAAGGTCAATAGTCAAAGCGGGCGTTTTGTCGAATGCTTAAGTAGATAGTCTTTTGAAAAAAGCTCGGGATAGATGTGATATAAAGTTTTCAATTTTTCTACATTTTGAGTATCAACATTGTTGAGTTATGCATTTTCCTTTTTATCGATCGATATGTTCTTGGTCAGTTTAAATATTACAAATGTTGGATATTCTGTATTATGTAAGATCAATTAGAAATTTGAGTCAGATGTTCACTGAAGTACTAGACATCGTTAATGCGAATCATGAACGTATTAAAAAATGACTAAGATTCTCTGAAATTTCAAAGAAAAATCTTCAAGAGTTTACTAAAAAACGCGAAATTCATAAAGAAATTTGATGACGTTCAGCTGTGTACCTGAAGTGTTTTCTTAGCACGAATTTATACGCTCCTTACTAATCAGAACACACGTTACTCCCGTAAAACGACTTCAAATGGCACACAAAACCGGGATGCGACAGCTATGCGACTCTACGGAAAACAAAAGCGCCTTCAATTTTGTATATAGGCAACATAGACAACCGCAGAGGACGAATAGTTGCATGATGCAGTAAAATAGATTAAGATGTATTATTAACGGCGCGCATAATGTCTTGTAATGGTCGATATTAGATTGAATGCGACGCAACGTCAATTCCTTTCCTTCTTTTTCATAGCCAAACCCCAACAAGCACTTTTCATTGGTTGGAATTACGAAGGAATCGAATAATTTAAATACCGATTGAACACCTTAGATTACTCTCAGATGAGTTTGTTTTGTTTTGTTATGTTGTTCCCCTTCCGTAAAATTTTGAGGAGTGAGAGAAAAATGTGATTCGATTAATCTCTAAAGCTCAACGCTTGATAAATAAAAATAATGACATTGATTACAAAATTATTCCTGACAATACCTTTTTTTTCGACAAATCATATCTATATCCTTTTAAATGACTGATGCTACTAATTTGAGAAGTCTTTTTTTAATGCAAAGGAGAATTTGATAAATAACACATATTTTAGAATAAAAAACACGTTTCTCATGTGTCATGGGGTAAAAAACACATAAATTTACCTCATTCTAGTGAATAATGTCGATGGTGTGCATAATTTTAGTGCTTTGGCTAAGATATGATTTAAATTTCCTTACAGACAGGCTTAAATTTTCAGCATGAATGAGGATATTTAGCTATTTTGTGGTTTTTCTGGTTACAAAAATTTGACGAAAATGATAACTTTTGAAAGTTCTTAGGGGTTGGAAAAAAAGATAAAATTATAATGGAGGGGGATAGGGGCATTTTGGATTTTGAAATTAGTTTAATATTAAATCAGCGGCTTAGCTTATGTTCCCCTTCTTAAACTTTTATTTTCATCCTACGAACGCACATATAAAACTTTCACCGTGTTTCCTCCGGCTATAAACTCTAAACGAATTGAGAAATAAACATTTTTCTCAAATAAAATTCTAACAATTCGAGAGTAGGTAAAAATAAAGGCCTGCATGCCTGACAAAATATTATTTCCTGTACTCTGATTGTTATACAAATAAAACATTCATTCAACTCCAGCATTTCCGTGTTTCTTAACAAAACAAAGTTATCACGGACAGCAGAGCACATCTGTATGAAGTACTGCGTCCCGGCAATGATTTAAAGCTTGAAAAACAATGTTGCCACGTTTCCTGCGTGGTGATTCTAACCTGATTTTTTCTCAACTTTCAAGCATTACCAAAAAATTTTTACACAGTTTTCATGGCGAAATCGAACTCGCTGTGCTGCAATTCTAAGTTAAATCAGTCATGCAGACACGAGGGACATAACAATTTAGTACGAATGAGATTCATCTAGTCATTCGAAGCAATGCAGAGTAATAGGGGAAAATCGTAGTTATTAGATGAATATTATGAACACAACAAGTGAAATATTTGACTTCGTCACTTCGTCTTTGTGATCAAATTATGCTAATAAAAGCAGACGAGCACAGGCATTTAGACCTATATCTAGACCGAGTTCAGCAAAAGGGAATCAAACAAAATTAAATTGGAATCGAGCAAAAATAATTTTGCAGTCTGATCACTCCATGAAACGTAATGTCCGGGATAAAGTTTAACACACACGTTTATATACTAAAAATTTGCCGTAATTTGGAATATTTGACGGATGAAAGTACATAAACGAATATTTGAGTCTAAAACTACTCCTGACTCATGTTTTTCTAAAATACTTTATTATTCACGGTTCATGGCTCATTTGAAGTATTCATCTATTCCTCCGCTTAGACATTTATCCATGGCAGAGTTAGAGTCAACTGATCGCACTGCTGTAAAGTGAGTTCCCTTATAGGACGAGTAAAGACATCGCCGGTTATGAGACTTCAAAAATTACACATTTTTTACTGCTTTCAATAATTGAAATTGATGGATTCATTTCAGTATTCCTTTCTCATTCCGTTTGCTTCCTTTGGTACTTTTAATACGGCGGTTTTACCAGGAGACATTACTTATTAGAGACCCCGCTCTTCTATTTTATCCACAGTTTAAAAAGTAAATGGTGCTCAGCGGTTTTCTATGTTGCCTTTAGACAAAATTGAAGGCGTTTTTGTTTTTCGTGGATTCGCGTAACTGCCGCAGATAGGTTTGATCTGCCACTTCGCGCAATATATAATAATACTGTTCTGACTCTACCGCTCAGATTCGCCAAGTAAAGACTCATGATCAAAAACCCTATTGCTTTAGTAATGCTTACCTAATTTACAGGTACCCCCAACATTCATCAGTTATTATCATTGGGTGAATTTTGTTCATTTTTTTTTTTTTTTTGCTGAGCAAGTTGCTTATAAAGCATCATTAGGCAAAAGATAGCGTTGAGCTCCCAATTTATTTTATGCCGAATTTAATTTATTCAAATTTAATATAAATATATATTTAATTTTCTTTCTTTAAAATTTCCTAATTTATGGTGCAGGGTCACTAGTCCTGATTCCTCCTGAGTTCAATTTTTGCACCTCGCTCCGAAATTTCATCTCAACCGAACAAAGCGGCAGCCGCGCATGACAACTGCACCCGGGGCGAGAGGCGCGTAATTTGAGTTGTCGCGTGAATCTCAACCTTGGCACCGCGCGGACCAAGCTCTCCATTATCCCGCGCGTAGCCGCCCGGTGCACGTTTTTACACCAATTAAAAAATCGAATCCCTGTATTCACTCGACAATCCGGCATCGCTGCCCCGTCATAATCACCCGCGTCAAAACAAGGCGTGCTCGTGTTTACCCTCCCCTCCGCCCCTCCTGGTTGCCCCTCCCAGGGGGACGCAAGGGCGGCTTTGTTTGAGGCCCCCAAACCAAGAACGGATTAGCCCTACGAGGACGCGGAACCTTGCGAAAATGAAACGGAACCTGAAAACGGTGCAATCGCCGGGAATTCTTGAGCCTCGGTTTCGAAGGTGAGTGAAGGACACGGGGGCTCATGTGATGTTGGGGGTTAGGTTGCAATTTACTCTCACCCTTCAAACGACGATAATTAACGCGTCAGCCGAACGGGGATCAAGTAAATCAAGTTGAACTGCTCCAAGGTTTTGTTTCCGATGACGGGGGCCCTTTTTGTCGGAAATCCCCATTTACTACACGCTAATTGACGCGTGGCGCATCGCAGCTCATCAGAGATTAGCTTGAAATTAATTCGATCCGCTCTATGATTATGTTCCAGGTGAGTCGGGCGAATTCCACCGGGAGGTTAAAACTCGGCTGAGCCTGGAGTGAGTTTTGATTTTAATTAATTTTCATAATTAGTGTTTGTGGATTTTTTAGGGATCAATATTTTTTAAATTGTGATTGAAGTTACTAAAAATTAAATATCAAATTTTGAAATTTATTTAATTCAAAGCTTAAGAACTTTACTTTAAAAAACTGTTACAGTTTTAACTAATTATGTAAGAGTGGAATACATGCTGATGAAAGCCAAAAAATCTTGAATGTCCTCTGCTGAAAGTTCTCGACACACGATCAAATTCCCGAACCAATTTTCATTGAGGTGCCGGGAGTCATCAGTTTTTAAATCGTTACTTTGCTTCTTTTTAAATTGAAGCCAGGGTAGAAATGTTGCGTGCGGCAGGAAATGATTAATGGTGGCACTCCATTCTGATCAAAATTTGACAGCCCGTCCAACTTTGATCAAAGAAGAATATGTTGCATGATGACCAATTGTCATCAACATGTCTACTTTGATTAGAAGTGGTTCGGAATTTGATCGTGTGTCGAGACCTTATCTTATCCAAAGATAGAAACGACATTCTCCTTCAATTGATAATGTAGGCAAAATGCGCTCGAAGAAGTTCAAATAATGGTATCAAGTCCCCTAGCTCAAAGGATATGATACGGATGGCTGGACCAAATATTTTGAAATCTGACCGATTGCATGTTGGTTCTGAATTGCACCAGTGCTAGAAACTGGGCTAAACATAGAGTAAGTTTCTATTGTAGGTAATCAATTTCCATAATTTTGTTCACTGAGTTTTACTCAATGTTTTCTAAGCGCCCGTCCTATGCACAGACTGAAGCTTTCAAACTGGCACTAATTTTATAGTTTCTCAGCCGTTACCGCAGGAAATTCCTTGAAAATCTCAAGATATAATCTATAATGTGTTCCAAACACATCATTTACCTGCTGAGAACGTCGCGTCAGCCCGACTATCTTAGACAGACCACAATCGACAAATCCATCGAGTGCGTGGGACGAGTGCTTTAAAATGTGTTAGATATTATCAGGGATATTTAACAAATTTTCAAATTTCTACACTCTTGATAATTTCAAAATTTGAACATCCTCTGCCAAACGGATTCTTCGTGTGTGCAAACCCATGTTTTTGTGATTATATTTGAAGATTTTACGACAGCGCATCTCATTTTTCTAGGCTCATTTGGATACTATGACCTACACCGAAAGCCGACAAATCATGATAACTGACTCGGTAAATGTGTAAATATATCTGTGGCAAACGAATGAAACCCGACTTAAGTAGCTGAAAACAATGACTTAAACAAGCAGTGAACTCCAACACAATGTGTTGATAAGGCGCGTCATTAACTCGCACATATCAACCCCTTTAGTTTTCATTTACAGAGATTTCAAAACAGGCAAACAGCACAACAAGAGAATTCACGATCCAACACTGCGAGGTCAAAGACGCACCTTGACGAGACCGTGTATTATGAATGTAAAAAGCTATTCGATCGAATTTAAGTTTTTTGATCTGCCTCAAGCAAAATCTTATCAGATTCTTGACGAAAAGTGCTACGGAATAATTTAAGCGAAGAAAGGAAAAATTCTGTCGAACTCCTAGAAGATAAAGTCGATTTAAAGGTATTCTGGGGCTAAAATACCCAAATCACCGGTAGTAAAAATCCCGTTATATTATTGAAAAGAAATTGACTCGATATAAATGCAATT